GGCCCCACAACACTGACTTCACCCCGCGCCCCAGGGAGGCCCTGGGGATGGGTCGTCCCTGCCCACCGGGCACCCCAGAGGCGGTGCCCGCCCCGGCGCCCCGCCCCAGCACGGAGGGAGCCACCGCGGTCCTCTTGGCGGGGACAGGGCCAGAGGACACAGCGGAGCCGGAACACACACGCCTGGCAGCGGCGCCAGGGCCCCGAGCCCCTGCCCGGCCCGTTTCCCGTCCATCGCCAGCTGGGCTCCACCGGCCACGTGCTGTCCGCCGGCCCGGCCTACCCTGCTCTCCAAGAGCGGGCAGAGCGGGGGCGGCGCCTGGCTGAGCTCGGCCGCCCTGGGCCGGCCGCTGAAGGCGCCGCGCTCCTGGATCAGCTCCCACGAGCGCTCGAACAGGAGGTCCACCAGCTTGCTGATCCTGCGGTAGGGCTGCGGCAGGGTGTCCAGCTCCTGGGCCGGGTCCCTCAGGACATGCTCTTCTTCCGCGTCCCGCGGCCAGTCCCTCTCCGTCGGGGACAGCGCCTCCAGCTGCCCCTTTCGTGCGGAAACGGACGGCTTCGTCCTCTGGGCCTGCGAGGCTTCGGAGAGGACGTCACGGACGGCGCCGGGGGACGTCGCGGCGCCGCAGGGGAAGGGCGTGAGCGGAGGGCCTGGGGGTGCAGGCGGGGGGCAGGACGCCCCTGGCCTGCGGCTCTCCCTAGGCCGAGCCCGGCGCTGCCCCTCGCCAGCGCTGCTCGCCTCCCCCGCGGGCACCAGCGGGGTGGAGTGGGGAGCGGCCTGTGCCCCAGAGACCGAGTGACCGTCTCCTGCCCCCAGAGGAACTCACCCTCCGCTCCCCGGTCCCGCCCCGTGCGCCCCCACCTGCCAGGTGCAGTCAGGGCCGCCCCACCTGGATCCTCCTGGGCTCCCCGCTGTGTGCTCGGCGCTGGCCGCCCGGGCTCGGAGGAGGGGCGCCTGGGGCCTGAGCTTTCCTGGGGTCGCAGCAGCGCGTGAGACATCACAACGAAACCGGCCTGGGACAGCGTCGTGTCACGGGAATGCTGGCGCCTGGCCGCTCCGCCCTGCACGCAGACGGAGGCTCGCGTCCGTGGGGAACGCGCCGCCATGTGCGCCTCAAGCGTCAGAATGACACAAATCGCGGCGGCTTCGAGCGTCCCGGCTAGCTAACGGCTCGAAGGCGTGTGGGACGCAGGGGCGACGGCCCCTGGGGCTGCCAGAGCGTCGCAGGGCCTGCTGGCCCGCGGCGGCACCCCGAGGACTTCCCGTGCGTGGAGGCGAGGACTCGCTGACACTGCGGGGGGGGCCAGTAGATGAAATAAGTGGGGGGGCCATGCCCAGAGCCCACACGGGGCCACCCTGCAGTAATCCCAGCTGGGTTGGTACCCCCCAGCCGGGGGGAGCTCCCACGTGAACACCCGCGGCGCGACTCCCCCACCCCCAGGACAGAGGTCAGAACATCAAGCCATTACTAACTTGACTGCGTCCAGAACAAAGCTCAAGAACAGGGATACAAAAACCCAGCATCCGGCCCTCCCGGGGGCGCAGCGGGTTAGGCCGCAGCACTGCCAGCCTGCGGCCACTTCAGTGCGAGCTGATCCCCGCCCGGAGGTGACCCCAGGGCGCGGCAGACCTCTCCTGACCCTCACTGCTCCCCTCAGCAGTGGACTTTGTCCATCTGCCTGTTCTGCTCCCCACTCTGTCTCGGGGGAGTCCTCTCACTGCCCCTGCAGCTGTGGCCTGTACCCCAGCTCTGTATGTATAAATACACACATCTTAAAAAAAAAAGAATACAAACAAATACAGCAGCCACTTTAGTAAAATTCAAAATTTTATTGGGACCCAATAAAAAATCAGCTGCCATGCAGAGAGCGGCGAGTTTGATCCGCTATGAAACACTGAGGTCAGAAGGCCGCAGGCTGCGAACACCTACTGCGTTTCTACATGACGGCAGAAAGGCAGCACGAGGTGTGCGGAGCTTAGGACGATAGGACAAGCCCGACAAGAGGCCCAGAGAACGCTGTAAGAGCGGGGGGTGCAGAGGACCCACGTAAGTGCCGCGAAGCCTGACTCGGCTTGGAAAGCTCCACTTTCTTTTCAAAGGTGTCAGGTATCCCCAACTTGGTTTACAAACTCAACACATCTGTACGCTGCCCCGTAGCGATCCCAGCTGCACAGTTACTGCGCAGAAATGACGAAGGTGAGTTTTACCCCGTCAGACGCCAAGTATCAGGCGCAGCCAGTTACTTAGGAAAAGGGGAGAACGGGCCGATGCACGCGATCCCGCACGAGTTACTGTAAGGTCACCGTCATCCAGAGTGTGGTGCTGGCTTCACAGTGCAGCGGCAGGTCAATGAAGCGAGAGTCCAGAGTTAGCCTGCACAGAGGAACAGGCTACTGTTGGCAAAGGCACAAGAAAGGCTCTGTGCAAAAAGGTAATCCTGCCAGTGAACGGTGCGGTGTCGAGAAGACAGCCGTATGGGGAGACGCGAGCTACACGCGCAGGGCAGGATCGTCGCTCTGGAATGTAAAGCATAAAAGTGATAGAAGATCGCCTGCAGGAACCATGGGAGAAAAGCTGAGCAGGGTTGGCCTAAACAGACTTCTTAGATTAGACATAAAGACACAAACACGGAAGAGGACCCAGGTAATTCGAGCCCTTTAAAAGTAAGCTGGGCTCTTCAACACAGGCGCTTCTGCTGACCAGGGTCAGGCGTCATTCCAGAATAAAACGCAGCCTCCGGACTGGGAGAAAATCTTTTTCTCCCATATATTTGATAAAGTGCCAGGAGTATTTTAAAACTTAGAAACAGGAAAAGATCCAATTTTAAAAATGGGCAAAACATCTATAAAGACACTCGACCAGAGAAAACGCACAGATGGGAAATGCAGACAGGTGTCCGATATCTACCCCCGGCCACTAGTGAAGAGCAAGGCCGGCCGCACACACCCGGAGCGGGGAGCAGGGCCTGCATCAAGCATGCAGGTGCGGGGGAGCTGACCCCCCGGTGGGGTGGGGGACAGTGCATGCGGTCAGTTCGGAAATCACTTTCGCGATGTCTTAAGCGGCTAACAAACAGCGGCCACAGCTCGCCGTCACTTCAAACTCGTAGGTGCGACATAAGGGGGCTGAAAACAGTTCACAGGTAAGACGTGCCGAGGGCCTGCTGCAGTGACCACCCGCCGGGGGCCTGCTAACCCAGGCGGCCTGTCCAGCCTCCCTGTTGCTACCCAGTGCTGTGCCCCACAGCAGGGCCGGCGCCGCCGGGCGCAGGAGCCCAGCCCTCCCCGGTGACTGGAGCGTAAGGCTGGGTCAGCCTGGGGTGGGTCTGCACCGCGGGTGTGACCGGGATCGCCCAGGGCCGTTGACTGGTGTAGGAGGGACCCCCGAGGCTGGTCAGTGGACGCCTTGTTGATAAGACTGAACTCCGGACCGGGAATCAGGGCTGGACCCAAATAGCAAGCTACCAGCAAGTGAGAAGCTCGGCTCCGCCCTCCACCCGCTTCTGCGTCCCCTGTTTCTGCTTCCACCATGTTAATGCTGCAGGGCTGCTCTGCCCGTACGAGGCCGGCGTCTGGCTCCTGAGCAGCGCCCTGCGTGGTGTCGCCTCTCCACGACTCGTCTCTTTGTCCCTGTGGTGCTGCCTGGCGCGACACCCCGCTCCACCCGCGGGGTCTGGAGCAGGCTGCAGAGGGTGCATGCGCCCACGAGCAAGGCCTGGCCTGACTGACAGTTAGTGTGGGAGGAGGAAAAGGCCGTGACTGACAAGGCGCTCATGTCACAGGGCTGCAGCGGAGGGGCGTCTGCTGACCCCGGCCGCACCCAGGGCCCCAGTCTCACAAGGCAGCCTGAGCAGCCCAGGGCACACGCCCCGGCCGCACGCCCCGGCCATCAGGGATCCTGCTCTCGCTTAGTCTGCAAGGACCCGTGGCGTCTGGGGTGCTACAAGCCTCTAGACCTGGGCTGCTCCGACCCGGCACGGCGTCAGAACCACAATGGCGGCCGAGCAGGCCGTTCGGGGTAGCAGACCCGCAAACGTCCAGGACAGCTCAATTCGCGGGGGCCCCAAATGAAAAGTGACCCCAATGTTTATCGACAGATGAATAAACACTGTCGTTCTCGTACATTTCAGTGGGGATAAAACAGCACTTTGGAAGGAAGCCTGGCAGCTTCCCGAGGTGGGTTATACACTTGCTGCAGTGTGAGGCAATCTGTTCTTCCGTATTTATGCAATAAAAATAAAAATGTGTGCTTCATGAGAAAATCGTACTTTATTTATTTTTAAAAGATTTATTTGTCTGTGCATACAGAGCTGGGGTACAGGCCAGAGGTGTGTGGGTGGCGGGTAAGAGGACTCACCAGCGACAGAGTGGGGAGCAGAACAGGCAGGTGGATGAAGCGCACTGCTGAGGGGAGCAGTGGGAGACAGGAGGGGTCCGCTGCGCTCACCCCCTGGCTGGGATCTAAGTCACATGGAAGCTTTAACCCTTTGTGCCACCAGGGAGGTCCCGTACTTAATTTATAACTGCTTTATTTACACATGCCCGGACTGGAAACCACACAAAAGTACTTCAGTGGGTGAACACATCACACACTGCCTGTGTCACCTGGAATTTAGCACCCAAATGATGAGCCTCCTCCCCTGCAGCTGAGCACAGACAGGTGCACACCAGCCTCGAGCTGTTGCCGAGGTCTGGGCAGACCCACACACGGGAAGGGCGCCTCTCCCCACCGCACTGGGGAGCCAGAAATGGGAGAGAAGGGAAGCAGGACGGCTCTGGGGTGCGGTCAGCCCGCAGCACAGTCCACTGTTCGCAGGTATTCCTAGCAGCCGGGGGCCTTGGGGGTCACTGTGAAGGTACTTGTCGAGCGCATCTAACACTCCATTGCCCTGATTTCAGCCTTTTCGGCAAGTAAACATAGGGTATCTTGACCTGCAATGCCGAGGACAGGCCTGGTCAGGGAGCGACGATGACCAAAGCCGCGGACCTTACATTTTATGAAGTGACTGCTGTGGGCGGGGGGCTCCAGGCCTCCGAACCCCACAGACGCCACGGCGGGTGGGCGAGCGATTTCACTGCCAGTCGGGCCTTGCCTCCCACCTCGCCCCTCTTACCCCTCCTAGGCGCTCCCCCAGTAGCAATGGTCCTTCAGCGCTCTGTCCTCAGCGATCTCCAGCCCGGACGAGGCCCCAGGCACACCCAGGCCGCTCCAGGGGCGCAGGGCGCCCCGCGCACAGAGACCACCTGCTGGAACAGCGCCAGGACCGGGTCTCGCCGGACCCTGTGCTCCCGGCCGGGCGGGTGTGGGGGGCTCCGCGCCCCTGCGGGCTCCCCGGGCCGGG